AAACTAGATTTTTTTTTGCATTTTGGCAAGAAAAACATACTTATTATATAAGATATGCGGTGTAAGCCTAAAGGCCATTTCAATTAAGAAAAAAATATACATTGAAAGAAACAAACAAATTTTAGTATACTTAAGTACTTATACTAGGTTTTATGAGAAAACAATTCAATGGCAACAAGGAAGACTTTACTTTAATTGAAAATTATTTGTCTGTTGTGGGACGTGATCGTGCGTATCTTGCTATTTTTCTCTCCAAATGAGAAGAAAATCGACCATCATATATTTTGTATAATGTAATTTTCGAGTGAGAATTATTTTTCCGTATTGTGCATCTCATTTCTTCACAAAATGTACCTATACAAAATTTAATCATTATTTTTAGTCACTTTCTTTTTTTTTTAAATATCAATTGTAAAAAGAAAAACTATAAATGAAATTATCTAATAGAAATAAGTCTACATGTCAAGATATTTTCCGAAGATAACAAAAACTGCTTCAACTGTCCTCTAAAACAATGTAAATTCAATATATCTTTCATGTATGTTGCTAAACTATTATATAAATTGGATCCAATTATCGATACTCTTTACGAAGAAAAAAGGTTCCCAGCTCTTGCCACTCTAATATTACTTTTATACTTAGTGTTAAAATTATGATCATACCTGTTAATTGAAACAACATTACTAACGCTATTTACTACTCGTAAGAGCTATTTCTTAAAAGCATAAATTATTTGTTGAAAATGATAAAAATACCCTTACCGGATAGAATTTTGTTGTTATAGTACAGATCATGAGTTCCGTGTATAATAGAGGCAAATCAAATATATTTTTTAAAATATTAAATTGGGAGACTTACAATTTACGAAAATTACCAGATGCTCATATAGCCCGTACTTTTGAAAAAATAGAGTGCTTCGTGGCATACACACCAAACTTGTTATTTAGCATATCTAGTATTCTCAGTTAAATGTTAGTTAAAAATAGCACCCAAAAACTTTATTCTCTTGCAAGGTGAAATCATTAAATCGTATGCAAATTTTATTAAATTTTCATTAACGCATTCTGAAATTAATTATTTTTTTTTATTTGGATTCATAATAATTTGGAAAGGATACCCAGATTATGTTCAATTTGGTTTTGAACTTAAAAATTGACAATATTGCTTTAGTAGGAACCTTTATTGTTTTATCCGTTTCCTTTTTGTTTTTTTAGTTCATGTGCTTTAAATCTAATTAGATTTAGAATTTAACTATCATCTATTTGTAAAAAAAATTAATTAAGAATTAATTCCAATCTTAATTTTCAATCCCAAAATTTTATTTTTAATGAAGTTTTTCTCTGTACCACACAAAATTACAATACTGCACCGTTTTTTCATTTGAAGTTAGTACATTAAGTATATAATGTATGCATATTACCGTAAATTCACTAAGCATAAGAGTTTTTACTCTAAAAATAGATTACGGTTGTAAAAAAATGAAAAAAATCAACAGCAAATTATAAAGACAATAAGAAAAAAATTACTAAGAAAATAAATGTGAAAAATGAAAAGAAAAGCGAAGAGTGTAAGAAAAGAAAAAACTGATCTGATTTGCAATAGGATAGACTCACAGAAGACACATTTTTTCTACCTATAAATTCGTTAAAAACAAAAAAAAATCCATTGAGAATTCACACAAGAATTCAATTCACAAGAACGACTAAAAAATTTTTAACATTTTAATGGGTTATATGCTATAAAATAACGGGAGGGGTTCTATGTTATAAAAATAAAAATAATGAAAAGTTGCATTGGTTTGTTTTTGAAAATGAGTAATTTTCGAATTAAAGCAACTCTATAGTACGATATTGTTTAAAAACCAAGTAAAAACGTTTCATTCGGTATAAACCGATTGAATTATACCCTGTACCTTTCATTGTTGTATAGCAGTTATTTGAACCTGTGATACCATTCCATAGAAATTTCACTAATTTGTTTGAGCTATAATTGGACGTACGACTGCCAAGTTTCATAAATCTGACTTTATTATTTTTCTAAATATTTAAAATTAGCTTTTGGAGTTGTATGACAGTTACCCGAACCGGTGCAGCCATCCCATTAAAAATTTTTAGAGCATGTGTAGAATATAATTGGACACATGTATACAAAATTTCATATTTACATCTTTATTAGTTTATGAAATATTTAAAATAAACTCTTTGAGTTATAGGGCAGCTACCCGAATCCGTTTCCAAATTGATTCAATTACAATAGAGTTCGTCCTTGGCACAAAAGAAACAACTTGTGAAAGTTTGTTGTCGATTGCAGTATTCGTCTTTGAGTTATCGTGCGATCGAACAGACGGACGGACATGTCTAAATCAACGCAGAATATTACGCTGAGCAAGAATATATACATATGTTCATATCGGGGGCGACTCCTTCAAGTAGTTACAAATTCCATGCCAAAGTTAATATACTCTTCACGAAGTGTACCTTAAGGTATAAAAATATTTATGCATAACTAATCTCTTAACTTACACTTATACATCGTAGACTGGGGTTGTATCCTTTAATCTTGTGTATTAAACACAAAACAATACATATTGAGTATAAACATATGTACACCAAAATCTTGATTTGCGTTCGTTTTTGAAGTTGCACCGTCTTTTTTGAGATTCCAATTACCAACGCAAATTAAAGTTCTGCTGTATTTCGTGTTATTAATACCTGACTTGCAAAAATTATGAAATATCCTGGTCCAAATCTATAATCAAATCCTTTATATACATTCATGTACGTATATACCGAATATATATATGTATGTATTTAAGCATTAATATTTTAATAGCACGTACATATGTAAATAATGTCCAACTTTTTGTAATTATTTAGAAATATAAAAGTAAATAAACAAAATTCTTGTATCATTATACCCAGCACCTTCGTCAAGGGTTTATTAATTTAAGTACCACTTAAACCACTTGACGAAGTTTGTAACCACTTGACCAAGTCATCTAGAGTATGAACATGTGTATATGTTTTTGTTCAGTGCAAAATTTTACGTTGATTTAAACATGCCCGTTTGTTGATCCGATCGCACTATAGTTTTTACCAGTTTGTTTCATTTGTCTCAAGGGTGGGTCCGATTGTAATTGGACCAATTCGGACAACGGTTATTAAAGAGATTATTTTAAATATTTCAAAAACTAATAAAGGTAAAAATATGAAATTTTATACTTGTTTTCACTTGGTTGAACTGCTTCGGGTAGCTGCCATACCAAGTCAAAAGGCTAATTTTAAATAATCAGAAAGCTAATAAAATAAGATTCATGAAACTTGACAGTTATGTCTCCAATTATGGGTTATGTCTCCAATTATGGGTTAGATATATTCCTGAAGTTTTTATATTAATGGTTAGACAGGTTCCAGTAACTGCAATATAACTATATAAAAGCTAATCCTAAATATTTCAAAAACAAATTTTTCTTGTCAAGGTGCGGGTATAATTCAGTCGGTTCAGATCGACTCAGACGTTTTTACTTGTTTTAACCTTCAAATGTTGTGTTTTTTGCTTTTCTGTTTTTTGCTCAACATATTTAATTTTGTTTATTCAAAATTTAATTAGAAAATTCAATATTAATTGTTATTTTTTCAAAATCTTGAACAAAAATAATAAAAAGAAATGATGAATGAATTAATGTGCAAAAAAAAGATGATCTCAAATAATTTAATTTGGGATTTTCCCAAAAAAACAAAAAATATACATGCTCATACTTAGATACATACATATTATAAACGGTCATATTATTAAAGAGTTTAAGAACGGAAAAGAAAAGAAAAATAAAAAACATTTAAAAGTAATCGTATATACCCTACATGTGTAATTATTGAAGTATATCCATGTATATACACATATGCTCTCTTAGGTTCTGCTCGATATTTTGAAAATACCGATTTGTCTACAAAAATGTCAAATGAATTAGTAAAAAATGTAAAAATGTATGTATATTGTTTGGGTCTTAGATAATTATCAACCTGAACAGATGGCCGTTCAGGTGAACAGATGTGAAAAATTCAAAATAATAAATTAAACTTAGGTTTTCAATTTTAGACTGATTTTGATATCGGAAACGTGTCATATTTTGCAGAATGGATTACAAAGTCAAACTAATTTTAAATGTAATCGATTCAAAATACAGAATTTGAGTAAGAAGTGAATAAGTTTTTTAATTTGTAATTTAAATTTTTGAGCATAATTGATGGCTTTTGAAAATGACATTTCCAATATAACTCACACAATATTATAAAAGGTTCTCCAATGTGTATCTGTTAAATAAAAGCTCGTATTTCAACAGTTTATCTATTCCAAATTCTGCACGAGAGTTGAAAGGTTTAATTAAGAAAACTACCCAGAATGTAAAATGAAAAATTTTCTTTTAACTTCATCTGTTTCTATGTGGGTGTGGGACAATTTCTGTGTGGTACTTAAACAGCTGCTTTTACCGTCTTGTTGTTCATTGTGTTAATAACGGAAATCTTTTAAAGCTTTCCCGTTCCGCTTTGGTTTTGTTTTTAAACTTATTGTACTATTTAAACATTTATAATTTAGGGTGTAAAAAAAAAGAGTTAATATAGACGTTTTGAACAAAAATCAAAACGGCAAAATAAACAATTTAACTGTTGTTGAACACACAAAAAAACTAAAAAAAAAATTTAATCGTTCACAAGATTTTCAGTTTAAAATACCGACTTTTGCCGCGTCGCCGTTTTTTTCTTGTTTTTTTCTTAATACTTTACTCTTATTTATTTGTACTGTAATGAGAATATACACATATATTTTATACATAAGTATATTTATAGCTGGGATATTATTGTTTATTTTTTTTTTTTCATTTTCCTTTTTATATTTTTAATTACAATCTATAAAACTTTTGGTTTATGAATTAATGAAATCAGTTGTTGCGTGGTCTTCAAGCTATTGAAATCGTTTTTTTTTGTTTCTTTTTCATTTCATATTATATTAGAGTGGGAAAATACTAAGGATTAATGAAAAATAAATAAATTAAAAATATTTAAGTAATAATAATAAAAAAAAAAAATACAATTCCTTTTTATTGTTAAAGTAAACATTTTATATTTCGATATTGAAAGGGTTAATTTGGTGATTAAAAACGTATGCCTTTGATTTAATTTACCGTTATGATATACGATATACTTAAAGAACGGTTTCGAAATAAAATAGTGATCAAGAATATGCCGTACCATTTTAATTATAATAAAGATTGAATCTGAATTAACTAAAATATTATAGCTAGAATAAAGAACAGATTTTTAAAATTTTGCTGAATATGAAAACTTTAAATGTTGTTTTCCACGTACATAAACGGGATCGTCTTTTCATTTTGTATTTAATTATACATAGTTTTCTAAATTCAAAATAATAGCCTTAAAATATCGAAATATATAAATGTACAACTGACATCGAAATTACAATAAATTTTATCTTTGACATTAGAATTCATCAATTTCTATAAATAGATGCTCACTACAATTTAACAATAAATTGGCAGTTATTAAGTTAATAAATTGAGTAAATTGAGTTTCGATACCAAATTCAGCTTTTATACTAGTTTAAGTTATAATATGTTATATTAATTTCCAATTCCGTTTACAGGGGTTAATGTTTTATATTAAGTTTGAAATCGATCGCTGATATACGTAAATAATATTATTAAAGATTGTTTAATTGGGTCGAAAATCAGACTATATACATTTAATATATTAATATACTGTAAATTTGTAAATTTTATATTGTTACATTTCAGAAGTGCAATTGTATGTGCGTTTAAAGAAATAATAATAATGTAAAGAAAAAAAACAAATCCAAAGAATCTGACCTGAAAAGAAAAAAAAAATTTCAAATATTTTAACAAGTGTCAAACGATAATTGTTTTTAATTTCTTATTGTTATTTAAAAGAACCATTAAAAGTGAACCAAAAAATAATTAAATAAGAATTAAAAAAAACTAAGAATTTAAATTGAAAAGAACCAGAAAACAGTTGGCAATCCAAGTAAGTATTACTTTTTTTTTTTGAACTTTCTGTTTTAAATACCTCGCTTATCCTCTCTTTTCCCGTGTAACAATCTCCTGTCCTATATAAAGATCTGGTATTTTTTACTTTACTAATAAAATATTAAGACTATTTACTAAGAAACTTGAAAAAATCTTAATTGTTTTAAATGAATAAAGCAGATTAAATAAAGAGTTTCCTTCTTACAGAAAGAGATTTGGAATAACGGTTCATTTTTACAATTACCGTGAAATTCAAATATTTTGACATTATCACTTTAATTTTTTCCCGGAATAGATGATGGTCTTATGCCCTTATACTTGAATAAGCTTTGAAAAAAATCTTGAATTTATAGCAATAAAGTGAAAAATGGGTTTCTTACACAATGTTGCCAAAAAATTAAAATAATTAAATGGTTATATAGATAAATGGAAATTTACTCTCTTATTCCAGTTATTTTGATCCATTTGAATGATAATTATATGAATATACTTGTTGTATGTAGATTAAAATATGTAAAAAAATAAAATATATTATTGAAATGTAAATTTGTACCTATTTCGCTCCTTGGAAGATAATAAGGCTGGCATTTGACATCGTACAGTTGATAAACATGAACCAGTTTTGTGCGTCATTGAATTTTTTTAGGTAGGTGACGAATCTACCATAATTTTTTTTATTTTACTGATATTTTTAATATTTGATATTATAATGATAATTAGTTGATGTTAATTTTTTATTTTATATGAATAAATATTGAATAGACTTTTTATAATGACCTGACCAGGTTTCGAACCTGAGACCCTTGAGTCAATGGATCAGTGCAAATGACCACTGCACTATCGGTCAGGAATCATATTATACTATTATATAATATTAGAAAATAAGTAAAAGAACTAATTTCTATGTATACGTTTATGTGTAAATTAGACAACTGTTGCTTGGAAATCATTAAGTATATCGCAATAAATAGCCGAAAAAATCAACTATATCAGTTTGAGGAACAAGCGCTATCATTTACATTTGAAAGAAGGGGTGTAGAAGGGCAATTATAATAAAATGTCGTGAACACAAACGAAATTATATTGTAAATTTATTTTAAATATTAAAGTTTTGTATAGTATTCGAATACGATTTTGTGAGAGATTAAGGAATCTTATGTTTATTTCTTAAATTTAAATTCAAGATTAAAAAAAATAATCAACAAACTTTCTCTCAGGATCAAAAAAGTTATTTAAATCATCGCTTTTCTTATACCAGTCTAATTTATTTATCAGATTTTGATTTTCTTTTATACTTACATGTTTTTTTGTCCACATATTCTGTTATATGTTAGCGTATATGTTATACTATAGAGCAAATTTGATTATAAGCGAAAAACTAAAGTTGTTTTTTTTTCTTTTTAATAATTTTGTCAATATCATTTGTGTTTCACATTTTGCAAAATCTTAAACTAGTTAAACTCATATACTTTAACATTAATTTGTCATAAATATTAAAATACAACCTAATAGTTTATGGTTGTTAATGAAATCTATTATAATTTGAATTTGAACACTATGTGTACAATGTATGTGTATTTCCAGTTTGAAATTTAAAATATACCCCCTAAGATAGGCAATTAACAATAATATTAATAAAATATTAGAAAAAAAAATTTTTTTTTTCTTAATTTTTAGGTGGAGTTAATGATCGTAAGATACAAGGCGAAGCAAGTTTTCTGTTCAAGTTTAAGAGTAAATTTCCCCTGAACAAGTATCAAAAAAAAAAAACTTTTTTTTTTCTTTATGGATAATAATTATTTGTATATGTACGATTAACTCCTTTCGAATAAAATGAATATTGCATTTGGATTATTTTATTTAAATTATAGTATGTTTTCTGAAAACATTAACTTTTAATATTAAGTTTTTATTCTTAAGGATCATATTTTAAGGATCTGGGAAAAGGAAAATCTTAATTATATTTATTTTATTTTCTATTTTCAACTTTAAATAAAAAAAAGCTTGTATGTACGGGCATACCTCGATTAACAGTCACCCCTTTTAACGTTGTTTCTTTTAATGCCCCCAATTTTCAAAGGAACGAATCTCTTCTTACCATTTATCTATATACAATGCCCAAATTATTCATATACATATTATACTTAGTTTTGCTGGAAATTGTTTAAGTCTGTCAAATACCCTATATATATTATGTTAAATAAAATATAGAAAATAATACATAAAGTAATTGTATAAGATTTAATATTGAAATTTTAAATATAATCTCATGTGATCAAATGTACATTTTTGTTTAAAACATCATGTATCACATTCAATAACAAACAAATTATAACATATGTTTGATTATTTGTATAACACGTAATTTATACACAACATACAATTATACTTTATATATACATACATATGTGTTTATATAATACAATTTTAACATAATGTAAAATGGGACTAATAAATTTTAATGATTAATTGTGATAAAAAAAAAATACATAAAAATCATGATATTATGTATGTATATATATACATTTATATAATAATGCATGTAATTTGTATCTGAGTAAGGTGAAATGTTGATTAAAATACTTTACCATTTGGGAATAATTTAAAATTTAATTATATTGTTCAATGTTGTTCAAATATTTAAAAATATTTTAATATTTGATAACTCTCCTTACATCACCTCTCCTCCACTTCTAATCAAGTCCTGAATTTCAATTGTTTTGAGGGAAAAAAAATTGATGCTTTACAAACTATTTTAAATTCTTATTACTAAATGAAATATTTCGGTGTGGAGCGGGTAGGAGAGTATGTTTTTCCAACTGCTTCTGAGACACTCTAATTTCTCTTATAAACTGAATTTTGTAAAAGTCAATGAAGTATGTAGGAAGGGGGAAAGGGAATGAGGAGGAGGGTTGTAAATTTTAATATACAAAAAATGTATGTATACACGTATTTAAATTTGTATGTAAAATTGTATGCTTTAGGATACCGATATTTTTATGCATTGAAGGTGATAATACACTCTGTTAAAATTCTGGCATATTAATCACTTATAACAATAGGAGTTTTAATAGTTTATAATAGTAATTAGGTATGCTTTTTTCTATTATTTTTTTTTTTCTTTAATTATACGAATCATAATAATTATTTCGAGTAAAAAATAAGAGTAAGAAAGCAAAATTTATTGGTGTGTTTTTCTTTATTTTTCTTTCTTTTTTAATTACACAAAAAATTTCAAGGTGAAATCTTGCGTTTAAGGTGTTGGTTTTCTTTTTATTTTTGTCTGTTTTGCATTGTTTTTTTTGTTTTTGATATTTAAAAAAAAAAAAAAGACTTTAATGACCCTTAAAATAATATTTAAGATTTTTTTTTTTGTTTTAATTGTCTTCAATTAGTAGCATCATTATAAAAGTTAAACATTTATTTTATACAATTAAAAAAAATAAAATAAAAATAAAAAAATGTTTACGATACTTAACGAAGACAACAAACACTCTGTGTTTGCCGTGTGGGAATTCTACTCGCACACGCACTCACGATATTTTCTAAAAAAATAAAAATAATCAAGGACTGAGGGTTTTTTTTTTTTGAAATTTGTGCTCCGATTTCTCAACAATTTAAATTTTCTCATTGATTTTTATTATTATTTTTGTTATTGTATAGTGTTTTTTTATTGTTATATTTTAAAGTACTTGAAATCTCTCCCTCTCTTTCTCTCTCTCTCGCTCTATATGTTAAATACGTATGGTAATATTTTGATTTTTAAATGTCATGTCATAACGCATTTAATGTGAGTTAAGTGATAAGTGTTTTTATTATTCATAATAAGTATTCTTTTAATGTTATTTAATTATTCACAAAAATTTGAGCTTATGAGCATTTTCCCTTTTTAATTTTGAAATTTTAATAATAAGAGCAGTAACAGCAGCAAATTTCACTTTCTATATTAAATATAATCTATAAAAAGGAAGTAAAAATTATGAAGTATTATTGGTAACGCAATTTTAAATCTTTATAACGTAATGAAAGAAATTAATTCTTATGCATTTGTTTGGAAAACTAAACGAGAGGAGTGAGTTAGTCATATGAGCATTAAGAATTCACGTTGAAACTTCTGAAAGAGAGCTCTTATTTTAATATATGTATATTAAAATATACCGACATTTTTTTATAAAATTCTTAAAAATTAATTAACAATTATTTGCTAAATTATTTAAACTATATTTTGTCATTGAATTTGTGTAAGATATTTATAAACAATTGTAAAAAATCAATTTTAACTTTCCAATTTTATTAAAAATGGCTTTTTAATAAAATTTTTAACAATTTTTATTAAAAATGGTTGATTGTGAACAAATTTTGTTGAAAATATTTTGAAATACTTTTTGTTTTTTCTTTTCTCACTTTTCTTTTGATTTATCCGAAAGTACCTTGAATTATTTTTAAATACGTGTGTATTACCTGCCGTATATAAATTGGTAAAGTGCGAGCAGATTGAAATTACCGTATATGTATATAATATGTTCATATAATTTATTGTCTTACAATCAGAAAGCATGCTAAACTATTTTTTGAAAATTTTTTCGAAGAACTTTTTTTTAAAGTTTAATGTTTAAACAGGTTTTCTTATATGATTTTTCGAATCGGATTGAAATTTATTAATTTTTTATATATAATTTAATAAATCTAATTCGACGAGCCGCATTCGACTACCGTGAAATGTACAAAAAGCAGACATTTTTTTTATTCGGATTTGGGTAGCGTCAAACTTATCACATTGGTTAGAGCAAACCTTATGAAATTGAACGAGGTATGAAGTATTGCCATTGAGACAGATTTCTCAAAAAGATCGGATGGTTTAGATACGCCTCCTGTAACTGTGCGCTCAACAAGGACTTGGTGTTCACTTTTTAGAGGTAGCAAAGCGGTACATTTGCGCTAATTATGGTGCAGCAAAAATAATACATAAATCCAATAATAAAAAAGGGAAAACAAGAA